AAGCCATCTTCTTTATTTATAATTAACGCAGTAATAGAAATCAAATTATTGAAAACTTTGATTTAAATAAAACAAATTTTTTTAAGTTTGCCAATTCAACTATTGGATGAATTGAAAATTATGAAAGAACATCATACTACAAGAACACAAAACTGATATTTTGAATAACAAAATCAACAAAATCAACAATGCTCTTTATAACTTTCTTTTTGTCAATTGTACTCAATATTGCTTTTTAAAGGATGGGGGATTCGGTTGAGCAAAAGCATTTGAATCCTTGGTACTAGAAACAATAATGAAGGCGTATCAATAAAATCAAGTTCATGGGTGACTGACACTTCTATTGGGTAGTTAGATCAATTAATTTATTAGATAGTTAATTTAACCAGGCCTTAAAAAACAGACTATGAAACATTACATATCCTTGCATTCTGATTATTAAATTACAGTCAAAAAATCAATATAAATATAAAATTTATAATTTGCAAATATTTACACCTTCAGTTAACCACCATTTAACACCAGCTTCTTTTTTTGTATAATCAAGATCTGTACTTAGTGCATCGAATAAAACCTTCTGTATTGCATTTTTAGAAATACTATTGGGTTCATTAGTTAAGAAATTTTTGATTTTTAATAATAAAGTTTTCAAAAATATCAAATTGACAGATTTGATCTGATCAATAAGAGTGAGAAGCAGATGACCTCTATGAAATAATAAAGCTGCTGATTCGATGATAAATTTTTCATTGTTAGATTTAATTAGTTGATTAATAAATGGAGAATTTGTTGGTTGTAAATTGTTATTAGAAGAAGAGTTATTTTTTTTTAATATATTGTTGATGGAATGAATAATATTAGAGTTAGTGTCACTATATATGTTGTCAGTTGTTGGAAGATTTTCGATTGCTTTAATAAGTTTTTCTAAGCAAACCCATGCTAAAGCATCATCAGTTTCTGATAAAGATCTAATTACAATTGAATATGCAGCACGAAGTTGACCAACTGTTAATAAATCTGGATATGCCTAATATATTGTGTGTGTGTGTATGTGTGTATATTAATAAATTTAATGTATTATCATTCACCATATATATATATATATGTATATATAAATAT